ATTATCCTTTGGGAGGATTCGGATTTTGGGAAGAACAGTTTCTGATATATAAGCGGATCACAGAACGTTGTGTCACGTATTTATTTTTCCAACAACTTCGTGAGTTTTACTGCTCGATCCTGACTAGTTACATAAAGCCTGCCCTAAGATCTGTGGGCATGGCCACTAGAGCTAAGCTTTGTCAAGAATCGGCTTATTTACTACAAAAACACGTTCGATATTTTGAATGTAAATGCCAATTTAAAATAATAATAATAAACAGACTTCGAAGTAGTAATCTCGAAATTTAATTTTGAACTAACTTTACAATATCAACCGCCTCCTGTTCATGTATATCTTTCTCTACACTGTAATCAAGTATAGATCCAACACCATACTTCTTCAGACGCAGAACTAGCGGTTGTATACCAGCTTCATCTTCACCTGCAACAAAATGCCCATAGAATGACATCCTCATCATCCTCCGAAATAAATGTTTTCCTAGAAGCTTCCTAGAAATATCCATAAGCTAAGAATAGTGTCAGAGTTCATAAATTACTTTCTTATTATTCTTCACCAAAATAGGGTATGAACATATTTTGAAAACAAGGAGTGCACGAATAAGGTCACTGTTTGACTTCGCTATGTTAGCTAGTTTTGAGTCTCTAAAACTAAATTTGGACAGGTCATCTTGAAATGACACATCGAAAAGGAAATTACTCGAAGCAGAATTATCCTTCACCGTATTCTGAGGAGTTGAGACATTTTGAAATCTTCCTGGTGACGTTGACAGCATGAGTTTGCTCCCTCTGATGCAAACTTGTGAGGCACAGAGCCATGTTTGATAGGTATTGATAAAAGATCCCAATGCTTTACGTGATAACATAAATCCAAAAGACCTCGGAAACAAAATACAAGTTATAAAAACAGAGCCCAAATGTCATGATCATGTACAATTATTGTCCGTTAAAACAAAACAATTCCAACAGTCGGTGTGACCACGGACACTAATTTTGCTAGAAATATCACCAAAAACAAAAACTTATCACTTTGTGTGAACTGCTGAAATATAATTATAGTTTATTTAGCCATGTACACATTACAACAAAAGTCAAGACACAGGAAAGTGAAGATTATGTGTAAGATTCAATTCCAAAATTGTGTCACAATTATAAGTGCTAAGTACCAACGGCACAAGGATTTTAGCCGTCATTGTTTTCTAACTTGTGACGCAGAGGAGAAAAAGTCTAGTCAATCGTTTTAAGGATTGATCTCACTGAATGCAATCAAGATGCTTAAAACTGGGAAAACACCGGGACCAGATGGAATCCCAGCAGAAGCTTTGAAAATAGACCCAGAGACAACAGCGGACTTGATGACACCACTACTGGAGAAGGTGTGGAAAGAGGGCAAAGTACCCAAGGATTGGAAGAACAGTTACTTATTCAAACTTCCAAAGAAAGGAGACTTGAGTCAATGCGAGAACTGATGCGGAATTATGCTCCTGTCCATCCCAAGGAACATACTAGGTCGCATCATCTTGAAGAGAGTCAAACAAGCCCTAGATGAAAAACTTCGACCGGAACAGGCTGGATTCAGGAGAAACAAGTCATGTATTGATCATATTGCCACTCTACGGATCATCATTGAACAAAGCTTGGAATGGCAGTCACCTCTCTATCTCAACTTCATCGACTTTGAAAAGGCCTTCGACAGCGTCGATCGAGAGGTCATTTGGAAACTACTTCGCTACTACGGGGTCCCATCGACAATTATACACCTCATCCAACAGTTATACGACAATGCTGCATGCCAAGTAATCCACAACGGGAAACTTACGGAAGCCTTCAAAGTGAGGACGGGAGTGAGGCAAGGCTGTCTACTATCACCAATGATCTTCCTGATTGCAATTGATTGGATAATGCGACAGACAACGGCAACCAACAAGGGAACAGGCATAAAATGGACTGACACAAAAGACTTGGAGGATCTGGATTTCGCCGATGATATATGTCTGATTTCCCATAAACTGGAAGATATGCAAGTGAAAAGTAACAAGTTGGCAGAAGAAGCATCAAAGATAGGACTTCACGTGAACATAGATAAAACAGAGGTGATGAAGATTCCTAGCCAACATCAACAACACCAACAGACCACAATAAGCATAAATGGGAAGAACCTGAAAGAAACAACCTCCTTCACCTACCTGGGAAGCATCGTCTCAACTACAGGCGGAACTGACGAGGACATCAAAGCCAGAATCGGAAAAGCAAGACAAGCTTTCATTACTCTCAAATCTGTGTGGAGGTCAACAGCAATCAGCATCAAAAATAAGATCCGGATTTTCAACTCCAATGTGAAGTCAGTGCTACTATACGGATCAGAGACTTGGCGAGTCATAAAGAGCATCTCAAACAAACTTCAAACCTTCATTAACAACTGTCTCCGCTCAATACTCAAGATCAGATGGCCAGAAAAGATCAGCAACAGGGATCTCTGGGAGCGAACCAATCAGGAACCGATTGTGAAACAAATAGGCAGGAAGAAATGGAGATGGATTGGCCATACGCTGAGGAAACCATCAAGTGACATCACTAGACAAGCCATTGCTCGAGTGGAACCCGAAAGGGAGGCAGCGAGTTGGTCGTCCAAGGGTGACTTGGAGGAGGTCATGCGAGGAGGAGATGAAAGCATGTGGACAGACCTGGAGCAGGTTGAAAAAGTTGTCAGAAAATAGAAGTCAATGGAGGTGCGCAGCTGAAGCCCTATGTTCCTCTAGGAACTAAAGGATACAATAATAATAAATAAGGGTACTAAAAACTACATTCGGTTTGATGCTGTTCAGTATTTCATCAAACCAGTCTAAATCCGCAAGGCTGAAAGGACTCCACTATCACCCAGCTAGTATTTTCTTCGGGCTAATTGCAGATTGTGTGACAGTTTTCCACAGTCTGCCCCAATGTTCCTGCAACTAACCTCAAGTTTCAACTACTCACCTGTGGCTATGCAGTGGACCTCGAGTCTTTAGCCATCCCGGTTACATACCCATTATGTCCACAGCTTGTCGAGCCAAGCTATATGCTTCCATAAATCTCAGCGAGGCGTAAATCAAAGGACTATTTGCGTGACCTCATAGCTCTAAATCAAATTGAGCAACCAGATATGCAGCCTTCTGTCTCATTAATCCTTGCACACCTACAAGCCATTATTATTATTATTGCTCCCTTGGGTTCCTAGTGGAACATAGGGCTTCAACTACACGTCTCCATTTGCTTCTGTCTTCTGCTGTACTTTTCGCCTGCATCCATGTTAGTCCATACTGTTTCAACTCCTCTTCACACCATCTCCTCCATGTCACCCTTGCACTGACGTCCCACACGCCACGTCCCTTTCGGGTTCCACCATAGATATCAGGTGTGCGTCGGCAGGGGATCGAACCTAGGACCATGTGCATGGTCAGCGACAGTCCTAACCACTGTGCCACCGAGCTTTGGCTGTTGTTGGTGACATCATGATGGCCACTCCATCGGTGTGCTCGTGGTTGTCCTCTGGGTGGCCCTAATGGCTTATTGTCTCTCCAGTTGGTAGTAGTTGGCACCTTCCAGTTCCGTTCCATCTGCTTTCGCAGATTCCTGACATTTCTATTGTATACCTGCTCATTTCAGCGGCTATCTGGGCAGCCTTTCCAGTTTCGTACATTGTACGAACATTCCAGGTACCCATCCTTACTTTTGCTTTCATCGAAAGAAGGCACATCGGCTGACTGGCTTCCCGAAGGCTTTCACCAGCCTGTGTCATTTCACTTCCCTGATTCCAGCGAAAAATAAGGCTATTGCTTATGTTTTTAGAATTTTTAATATATTTATTCGTTGAAGTTTCTGTTGCGATTTGGTTGTTTTACGGGGGTGGAGTTGCTAGCACCACGCCCCAACCCTCCCTCTTTGCCCGGGCTTCTACAAGCCACGCTTGAAATTAAATTTAACTACACTTCTGTGCATTTACTGAAACCAATCTTGGAATGCCAGTGAGGAGTTTCCATTCCGTTAACTTAGTTAACATTTCTCGTAAAAAACTGAAAGTATTCATGTGTTATTATTATTGATGCAAGCCAGCACCATAAGGTTGACAGTACTTTGCGAAGAAATAGCTTCATAAGGTTATTTCTATCTAAGCAACTTACATTTCGATTGGCGTGGCAGAGGTCCTGATAGTAGTCTGGTGGATGCTGTGTTCTTTCAGAGTGGCGAATATTTTTTGTATAGGTCCCTCATTAAAGGTTTCCTGGTTGATTTCGCGGTTTTTGGACTGACTGACTCTCCAGAAGCTGGATTCACAACCTTATTGGGCATAGATTACAGAAATTAAGCATTATATAAGCTGCAATTTGAGACAATTTTCAGTTCGTACTTTTTGTGAATGAATTACTGTTGATAATCAAATAGTCCCATCTTCACAGTGATAGTGATCAATTTGCGGTGGGAGCAGTTTTCCGTCCGACGATGTAAACATTGCCGCTTGGAAATTAAAGGTAGCAAGAATGCACTCATGCATTTCGACCGTGGCTAAACACTGAGATAGCAATCAATTACTGTTACTCTGCTTTCGGATACAGAGACCAGGGATTGTGAAGTGGTTTTGAACTATTAACTGAAAAGCTCAGCTAACTACAGCAGCGGGTTTCAGAACAATATGAAAACTGCTTATGGCTGCTGTAATTCAAACGTATTTCAAGGATTCTGACAGACATATCATTAGAACTATAAATTTAAATAATAATAATAATAATAATAATAATGTATTGTATCAACTGGAACAACATATAGCATTCACTCGTGAAATCTACGTCAAGAATCCTCGGATACCATATCTAACTACGTGGAACTCAGGACTTTATCCACAGCAAACTCTGTAAAGGAAAGTCTGACTTTTTATTTTTGCAATATAAATCTGTTTATCGTTGTTGTTTTGATACTTCGATAATACAGCTATCTTATTTTCATATCCTCAAGACTTTTTTTCCGGAAATTGTGAAGTTTCTTATTTCTGTAATGGTTAAGTCTATCAAACGTGTAAGTACCGTTAAGAGACTGAGATCTAATACTAGTCAGCCATCTGAAGGCCTCAGCTCCGTTGACAATTCTACACTGTTTACACCAGCCATACCCAGAGTTATGGTATCTGATATCATGGAGGAATTAGCAGAGAATGCGGCTTGTAGCAAAAATGATTTACTGACACTTCAGAAGTCAATAGCAGAACTACAGAGCAAGTTTGACAGCATTATGCCTCTCACGCAACTGTGTGACCCACCACAAAACATCTGTTTTGAATCACTAATCAAATCCGAGCGCATAATTGACTATTTGGCTGAAGAAGCTGTTAAGAGGATTATGTCTTCACATAACGTCTTGGCCTATAACATTCCAGACAGAGAGCCGATTGCCAAACTTAAGAATTCGTGTCTAAAGGCTTGTAATATGTCGTTGACAGAATGTCAGGTCTTGCGTCTTCGTAAGAAATCTGCAAACCACCCGTGTCCCGTGCTTTTCAAGTTTAGGTCTACCGAAGAAGCCAGGAATTTTCTGAAATCGGGTAAGAAAATAGGCTCTTCAACACCATACACTAACATTAGGGTTGCACCTGATTTAACACCATGCCAAAGGCGATGCCGCTCAGGAACAGTGAACCCTGATAACTCTAATAGGATAACTGTAGATGATGTTCCGTGCGTTATTCCGTCTATTGAAATATCTGATAACGGCATGCAACAGACATTTTCGCAGGTAGTGGCTAATGTTAGCCAAGCATTATATAACGATATTGATGCAGACACTGAAATGGTGGACATAGATGAGTCAACGGGAAATAATGTTGAAATACATCGTTTTCACACTGACGCAAAAGTCCAGACACCGAAACCATCAAAACCCATCCCACTGGTGGTCCAACCATTGCCTTATAAGTCAGTTACTCCTCTGTCTGACAATCCACACTCTGTAAAGCACCAGTCGAATGTAGCCACCCAAGTTGGCAAGTTTTCTAGGCATTATGACAAACGTCCCATTTCCATTAAGAAAACTAAAGCTCATGAGGTGTTCAAGCCACAGAAACCCTACATAGCATGTGCTGACTGCCCTGTTAGCCATCATCAGCCAGATAATCATAAGATAGGGGAAAAAGAAGTAAATAAATTAAATACTAAACCCGGAGCAAGAAAGCTCTTTGATAAGAAAGAGACGAAAGCACCTGTAGGCCTTCTTTGTAAGAGAAAGTCAAATATGGTAGACGAAGCTCCTAGGGGTAGGCCTAATTGGTGCCAAGTGGAAAGCCAATTTTATCGAATCCCTAATTCTAGACAAACAGCACAGCAAAGTAGTAGGTATTGTTCTGCACATCCACTACGTAAACCCCTTGTCAACCAGCCCACTTCTAATATTCTGTCTACTGAAAGTTATAGAAAATACCCCAAACATCGGCCACAGACCACATTTAGCAAGCCAACAGAACCCATTCATATATCTTATGTGTCTAGTGGGGAGCATGTGCCGATTTCTGCACAAAACTTGCCATGGTCTGATGAATACCAGAAACAGATACCAACACTTCATTCTTATACTGGCAACAAATTACCGAATACACATATCGGTTATACCTTAGGGCAGGATTTTCACCAGCGTCAGTTAACAGAAACACCTGGAATCATGCATATAGCACGCATGATATCGGATCAATTCCTTGCTGGCATAGCGAACAGTCTACAGCTAGGGCAAGGCATATTTCCCGGGAGATAGCTGACACAGTGTCGACACCAAACGCGGATACTAATATCTCTAAAATATTAATATCTGATTATCACACAGGTGTCTCTCACTGCATACCATATCCAAACGTAAGCCCATCCCTGACTACCACCTCAAAAATCTACCTGAAGTCTTCCTACGATCCAAAGATATTGGTAAATGAGTCTGATAACATGTATATAGAGGATACTCACGGATTATTTTACCAAGATGTTGTCCGCTCACTGAAACCACATAGCCAGTGTTTATCTATTATCCTAGTAAATACGAGATCAGTTCTAAGCAAACATTTAGCACTAAGTACAATAGCTTCTATATGCAGACCGTCATTGATTATGATCACCGAAGCCTGGTGCACAAGTGAAATCTCCAATGACAGCCTAAGGATTGAGAAATACAACCTTTTTCGCGGGGACAGACGGACAGGTCGTGGGGGTGGAACACTAATTTACTGTGAACAATCCATGTGTGCAACCCAGTTTAGTAACCCAATTCTGTCACAACTCAATGACTCGATCTGGGTCGAAATAAAAGTTGTCAGAAGTAAACCTATACTTGTGGGTTGTGTGTACCGGCCCCCTTCATCCAGCAGGGAATATGATAATATGCTTAGCAATATCTTTAATGTTACAGCCAATCTTCCTTTCAGTTATAAAATTATCGGAGGCGATTTCAACTTGCCAGAAGTATCATGGTCTTCACTCCGAGGACCCCAAAGGTACGATAATCTCATAAATTCCATCGTCACAGGAGGGTGGACACAACACATAAATTCACCCACTAGATCCGCAAATATCCTAGACCTTATTTTCACGAACAACATAACGCCATCTACCGTACATGTTGGACATGAATTTCCAGGTAGTGACCATAGAATAGTAGTTTGTTCTTTTGACATCTTTCCTGAAACAAAACGCAGAGATGAAGCTGGCCAGATACCTATGAGATTGTACACACATGCTGACTGGGACTTGTATCAGCACCTAATTAGATGTTCTAATTGGGACTCGTACTTTTCGAACCAGTCCTTAGATGCAATTCTTAACAACTTCTATCAGAATATTAACTCAATTCACGACGTCATTGCACCCGAGAAGATTCTTAACTTCAGATTCCCCCAAAGTGATTATATTCCGACATCGTTTAGAAGAAGTCTACGTAAGCACTCAATAAAATACTACAGATATCATGACTTATCGTCATTAATTGCCATAACGTCCCTTCTCAGTAGAATTGAAGAGTTGAGAAATATAGGCCTCAGAAACAAAGAAATGCAGGCCATTCATGCACCGCATAACTCAGGAGAAATAGCCAAACTTTTTAAAAGTAGGTTGATGAACTCCAAAACACCCTATCCGAAAATAATATACTTAGACGGCATTGCTTACGAAAATAATGAGGCGATATGTGAACTGTTTAGCAAGCACTTCGCCAGATTATACACCTTAGAGAACGATGAAGTCGTGGATTTCCCACGTAAAACAGACGAATGTTTAAGTGACATAATTTTCACCACACATGAGATCGATAAAGCTGTCGCAAATCTTAAGCTTAGTAACACTACTGGCCCAGACGGTATATCTTCCGTTCTGCTGAAAAAAGGTGGTAATGACATGAGTTTACTCTTACTCAAGTTATACTCAATTTCATTAAGCGATGGGACATACCCTAACTGCTGGAAGAAGTCTTATATTGTACCTATCCATAAATACGGGCCTATAGCTGATATCAACAACTACCGCCCCATCAACATCACGTCTGTAGTTTCACGTGTAATGGAAAAGATAGTTAAGACTCAAATCATTCAGTACTTGCTGTCAAATGACCTACTATCCCCATCCCAATACGGTTTCTTAAGTAGAAGGTCGTGCATTACTTGCCACTTAGATTATTTTGACTACATCACACAAAGCATTGATAATGGGCGTTCGGTAACAACATTGTTTCTTGACGTTAGCAAGGCCTTTGATAAAGTCCCACATATCAGACTCCTAACAAAACTCCAATCCTACGGAATAACCGGAAATCTTCACAAATGGATAAGTTCTTTTCTCACAGAAAGAGAGCAATTAGTCAAAATCAACCACCAGTTGTCTTCCTCAAAGCCGATAACCAGTGGTGTAATACAAGGTAGTGTTCTTGGCCCTATTCTATTCCTCTTATTTATAAATGACATAGTCTCTGTAATCAAGTATGGCAAGCCATACCTTTTTGCAGATGATCTCAAGATAGTATATGATTATGGGTACGGTGATATGAGCGTCGAAAGCAAGATCCAACAAGACTTAAATGATCTAGGCGATTGGAGCGAAAAGTGGCAACTGACTTTCAACCCAGACAAGTGCGGTATAACCCACCTTGGACGCTGGAAACCGATAATGTGCCTATACATGTACGGTAAGCTCCTGTCAAAACTGAACACAGTCACAGATCTCGGGATAACATACTCAGATTTATCCTTTTCCGATCACGCAAATAAGGTTGTATCTGACTGTAAACGACTTACTGGCTTTGTACTGCGTAACTTCTACACCCAAGAAGCAAGATTAGCTATATATAGGACATGTATCCGTCCCAAACTTGAATATTGTGCTCTCCTATTTAGTAACCTCAGGACTGTAGACAGAAAAAAAATCGAAAGTGTCCAGAGATTCCTCACGAAACGCATAATAGGGTTCGACCAACAAGTGGAATATGTTGACAGGTGTGTACGTCTGAAATTAGAGCCTCTGTGGTTAAGGAGAGTGAAGTGCAACCTATTTCTACTCTTCAAAGTCATTAGGAAACACTGCTACAGTAACTCATCCATAACTTGGGAAAATATTAAATCATATCAGCTGCGAAACCACGACTACCTTGTCAAGGTGGCTACCCACAGAAAATCCATTAGGGCAAACTTTTTCACCATAAAATATTGCACTCTTTGGAACCAACTACCACCTGAAATAAGATGTTGTGAAAACCCTGATGGGTTCAAACGGAGCCTAGAAAGACACTTTAACATGTCCACCCTAGCTCGTCTAAAAGACCACAACTGTTGGTAGAACGGAAATTGAAGGCCAGTCCAGTCTTCAGTATAGTCACATACGTATATCTCGACTCTAATACTCACGCAGCGAACGTTAACTAATTTACTGATTTCTATTCTCTATAATTTTCACTAAGTTGTGTTGGTGAAAGTAACACTGGAAATAATTGTAATAGCATCCACACCTTTTAACGTTTTACATATGTATATACTAATATAACAATACTTATTAATCATGCATGTTCAACTCTTAAATTAGATGGATATTAAAATACTTAAAATATTTATGCATCAAATGTTCTCTTGCTTTACCACGCTTGTTTCCCTTATAACACTCAATTATTGAACCTAGTGTAATATTTGATATACGAACTATATTATTGATTATACTCTTATCATATATGGTTTGATTTACTCTACGGCTCCCTGTAGACTAACCACCATTCTTCAGTATACACACACTGCAGTATTGTTAAAAAACGCCAAAATTTCGTTGGTTCTGTGTTAATATCTTTTTATAATATGTCTAGACACGTTACTTTGCAATGTCAGATGTTTACTATATATAAGACTGTCATGAAAATTTAGTACACTAAGTCCTGCCAACCGACCTTACCTTCAGTCCATACTACCTAAATTGAACCTTAACTATAGTATTCTGCTAAATCTTGCTCCACTATTCACAATACCTATTCGTTTTACTCTTTAAGGTTTTAACTTCTTATAAAGTAATCTGTTCATCAGGATGCATGCACACATATATAATATGTTCGTAAAGATGTACGTGGAGACCTATTGGAAGCACTCATTAAGAAAGCTAGGGAGATGGAATATGGGGTACGAACATGTCTGGTACCAAGCAATATATTTGCGGTAGCCATAATAATCATAGTCTCAGAGCCTAACATCAAAAAAGGAGGGAGGGTGGCGTTAGCTGATCAGTAGATATGGTGGTGGTCACTAAGGTGAATCGCCCCATTCTGCAGGAACAGCAATATACAAATTAAAGGCTCGAGATATTTCTGATTTTTATGAGGGCTTAGATCTTTATCTTGAAAAAGATAATAGTGAACGCCTTGACAGATAATGCTTCTACCTTTAAATATATACCATTCGCTCAGCCTATTGTTGAGATGCGACCACGTGGGATCTGCACAGATTTATGGGGCATCTTATGAATTAACTTGCTATCCATTGTCAGATCTTTAAATACCACTTCACAATATCTTGTCTCACTTATTTTCTAATAACGTCTTTACTTGATTCTCATTATATTCCATTAAACCTAACATTTTATAGCTCTTTATGAATTTGATTCGACTTATTCTATTCCTATTCTCTGGAGGGTACGGTTGTGCACCAAATAGAAAAAAAGACATGAAATAAAGACAACTGGCTTGAAAATAATTGTATTAAAGCCAAAAGTGAACGCATGATAGTATAAAATATATTGGTTTCATTATACATTGCAAATGAACGTTGTCGGCCTAAGGATTAATTACTTCCCCATTCTGTTTTCTATATAAATGTGTTTATTAATGATATATTTCACTCACTTAATCTATTACACTTTAATGTTACACCACAGCACTTTAATTTTTCTAAAACAGCTTCCAATTCCTTGTAAACGTTGTACTTACCTCAATATTGGTTGATTATCGTATGCCTACAACCACGGGATGAAAACGAAACGAAGTCGATTTTCCCGCTCAACCTGGAGGACAATTGTACAATTCAATAACTATACAGCCTAGTTCAGACAATGTGTATTTATATATATATCAAATATTTAACTGTTGAAACATTATTAACTTGTAGACAATTTAAGATTTGACATCATATCATCCTTGATCGTGCCTGTAAAAATGGCATGCATTTTCATGTAAATTTATGTTTATATGAAAATAAATTATTATTATTATTATTATTATAATAATAATAATAATTGCTTTATTCCAAAAACAGTACTCATGATACAGCAAGGAATTTTCAGCATTCAGTACAATATTGCATCTAATTTACCCAAAAACGACAAAAAAAATTAAAAATACACAATACATAATAGTAATAAAACGATTGTTGTAGCAGCTACGTAGCAAAATACTGTGTGCCATACGGAGAAAAATATGTATAAAGTACAAAATTGTAGTAATAATAGTAATACCAACTAATATAAAATAGCAGAGTAACGATTTAAACGATAGAAAGTGTAACACCATAAAATACAGAAAGATGAGCGATAAAAGGGTCGATTCACTGTGCTAATTACATAGTAACTTGTAAGTTTCACGTCTAACAGAGTCTTCGTCACATAAAGTACGCGCTAAATAGGGTATTGTAGAATTTCTATACTTAGTAGTACGAGCATATATCTTTTTATATTGACTTCTCGTCCTACCTGATGAGATACAAGGGGACAGGTGTGAATAAAGGGGGTGCAGAGGGTCTGACATTATAGCCTTTGCCCATTTCGTACAGGAATTTATATGCCTCTCGACTATAGTATTAGCGAGCTCATGCAGTGGCAGACCACAAGCTCTACTCACAGCATTTAATACTCTTCGTAATATGATATAATCTTTTTTGAGCAGCCCAGGAAAGATTAATGGAGAGCAGTAGAGTACAATAGGTAAAATACAGGAGTTTAAAAATTGCAAAACTAAAGGTTGGTTGATACCTGATTGTCTTAACTTTTTAATGTAGAAGGTAAGACGAAACATTTTCTTAGAGATAGATAAGATATGGGATGACCATGAAAGGTCAGAGGAAAAAACTAGTCCAAGGTATTTAATACTTGATTTGGTTTCAATTTCCGTGCCATCTATGCTACAGGGATCATGAGAGTTAACTAGTTCAAGTAAGTCACGTCGATGCTTGAAAGTAAAGTCAAGCACCTGACATTTGGAAGGATTTAATATAAGACCATTTGACTTGGACCAGTTGTTGATGTCCAACAGAAAGCTATTAAGTTTGGAGCTGTCAGACTCGGAAGTGATAGGCAGTGATACAGTCAGATCATCTGCATATTTGACAAAGTTAGTTTCGTTTGAATGAGGCAGGTCATGTAGGAAGAAAGAAAAAAGAAAAGGAGAGAGGACAGCACCTTGTGGAACACCGGATTTTGTAAGCGAGGTAGAAGAAGATTTGCCGTTATATACAGTATACTGCATTCTATCAGAAAAATAGGAATGCAACCAACTCTTAGCCCAGGATCCTGTTTGTGTCAATGATAGCTTATTTAATAAAAGGCCCCTAGGTACAGAGTCAAAAGCAGATGTGTAGTCTAAGAAAGCACTACGAACATATTTAGCACCTTTGTCTAAACAAGAGACAACATTGTGATACAAGACAACCGCAGCATCCAAGGTACTTCTACCATGTTTGTATGCAAATTGTTTAGGATCATTAAAAGGTTTCAAAGCGGGTTCAAGACGAAGTAAAAGTAATTTTTCCATCAATTTTAAAAAGGGGGAAGTAATTGCAATAGGCCGAAATTTAATATCAGAACCAGAAGATGGTTTTGGTATAGGGATAATTTTAATGTTTTTCCATGCAAAAGGTAGAACGTTACCGGAAAAAGAGGCATTAAAAATGTTAGTAAGAGGATAACACAAAATATCAGCACAATTCCTGAGGACAATGGCAGGTATGCCGTCAGGACCAAGGCTTTGAGAAGGCTTAAGAGACCGGAGACATTTAAGCACATCAAGGGTATTAAAACCACTAAAGTTATTGTCAATATGATTTGTATCATTTGGAAGGGTATCAACAGAAGAGCGTATGAAAGATTTATTAAGAGTGTCAACATTAAGAGATGGAACAGAAATACATCGCTTACCGTTAGTAATTTCTTTGAAAAGTTTCCATAAATTAGAAGGGGTTTTACATGACAAAAATCTTTGATTATATAAAACACTTAGTCTTTTTATTTCCAGTTTTATCAGCATGTTTAACTTTTTTACACCAGGCTTATCATTAGTTTTGAACAACAGTTCTTTATTTCTACGTAGCTTTTTGAGATATGGCGAAGATAAGCGATCAAATCGGATGAATAATGTTTCTTTAGGACAACATATTTCGAAACAGAATTTAAGATAATCAGTAGTGTTTGTGATTGTTTCATCTAATGTTTGTTCTGTAAATAAGTCCCAGTTAGTGTCTTTCAACATGCATCTGAGCTTGTCTAGGTTGTCTTTTGAGTAGCATCTCCGTTGAACTTTACTGCAGAGGTGAGAGAGGACACCTTTGTGTGATTTGGAATATATTTTAGGCAGCACACGTATGATGCAGTGGTCAGAATTAAGTAGAGGAGCACGTTTGCGAGCTTCATATATACCAACATCATTGATAAATACCAGGTCCAATTTTTTACCAAGACGGGTGGCAAAGTTGACAATATTGTCATGACCAAGTGATATAAGGAAGGAGTGATCGCATGAATTAAAATCACCTGTTACTATTGATAAAGAGTTCTCGAAGCAAGCTGCAGCAAAAGCGGTGAATTCATCGGCGAACATAGATAAATCCAATATGGTACAGCCAGGAGAGACATAAACATTAGAAATATAAATGAATTTGTATTTTGAAATGTGTTTCGGGCGACATCTCACAGTGATGCAATCAATGAAGTCATTCGAGAATTTGAAACAAACTTTGTTTGAAATGGACCATTTTGAGTGAATAAAAGTTGCAACACCTCCACCACACTTTTTCTTGGAACAAATACGGTCTTGTCGAAAAACATTGAAATTGTTTAGAGACACAATATTGTCATCGTATGAGTCATGGAGCCAGGTTTCTTGCAGAGTGACTATACCAGTATTGTGGTAGGTACTAGAAGACAACAGAGACTGAAAATCCAGAATTTTGTTAGGCAGGGACCGGCAGTTGGTACTAATGATAACTGGAACAGTGGTGTGATGTATGGGTGTAGATTTTAAGGCACGCTGCCAACCTCCATGGTGCTTTTTCTTGAGTTTATTGCAAATATGAAAGTTTTTGGGTTTAAAACGTTTTATAAAATCCCGGGGGTAGATAATACGATTAGAATGCATAATGTGATATGTAAATACCAATAAAATACGAGTAAATAGATGCAAAATGTACATGGAATGTGGTAGCCCAAAAATATTCAAACAGGCCGCCAAGGTCATTCGATGTTAGTGAATTACGTCAAACAAAAGAAGTTAATTGGGTAGAAGATGAAATAAGTAGATCGAGTGACGTAACATAACTGATGGGATTAGGTAGAGTTCAGTCAAGACTGGTTGAGAATCAAGTTAATAACAGTGGTAATGAGGGGTAGAAATATAATAGGGGTTGAGGGAAGAAAATAGTACAACCATAAAAACCAAAAATTACATATATATATGTAGACATAATATCCACTGTTAATTTAATGAATGTGCGTCGGTGCCACAGTGGTTAGGACTCTCGCCGACCATGCACATGGTCCGAGGTTCGAGCCCACGGTGACGCACACCTGATATCTATGGTCGGCCTGAAAAATCTGGGCTACGGATATCCACGCTGAAAATTCCATACTTGTACCAAAATTACGGTGTAGAATCAAGCTGTAATCAAAAATAAAAAAATGAAAGTAAAAAATAAACTTCTTTTGCATGCATAGTTTGAGATTTAACACGTGAAATGCCACCGCCCCTTTATTTTCAAGAGGTTTAACTCCTACCCCTTAGGCAAGATTCCCACTACTTCTGTAGACAACTACAAAGTTGCTTCGTGGGTTTACCTGGTGCCAAGGTTCAGTCAGGTGTTCAGCGATATTGTTAATTTTTCAAAGCCAGACCCTAGGGAAGCAGAAGACAAAGATGAATAGACTGGTGGGCGACTTGATAATGAGATCAGTCCAATAGTGCTTATGGCAGCGCACAGTGGTGTATATAATTATTGTGTAATATCTATTTGTGTTATATCGAGGGTCACCTTCTCTTTCTGTGACCTTTTTATCTTAACTCAGATCATGTTCTGTTTTGATGGGATGCCCAGTCATTAAAGTAATAATTTTTCTGGAAGAGAAACAATCCATTTTTACAGGTATGAACATATGTACGCCAATTAGAGCTGGCAGAATATATAAAATGATTTATTAATTTAAATTTGGATTGAACACTGGTTTATGTGAAAGAAACATTGGATGACAGTACAGATAACTAAATATAAACTAGAGACTGCTTTCAATCGAAAAAGTTATATGACATAGCGTTAAGTCTAAGTCTTAAGTGGCCTACTGCATGTCCGTTTCACGCGTGAATTATAAGTGACCGCGTTAGCAGTAGGAGGTAAGTAGCATTTTGGTACAGGAGCTGAAGTGAAACGTGAGAGATGCATAGTGGACGATGGT